GCCATTTATTTGTTTACTAGACTGTAAGCACCATGAGGACAGAACATGTCTGACTTTTTCACAGTCTCCCAATGTCTAGCACACTGCCTAGAATCGCGCAGGGAGTCACTAAACAGTGGTCCTGGGTGGTTAGTTTTTACAGTTGCTTATCTTGTGGGCATTACTCATCTTACCATTAGACTATGGTATAAATCCTGTTGTTCCAGCCTTCTTCACCCTAATCACCAAGCTTTGCATGTGATAAAAATCTCAATAAATTTTTTTAATAATGTGAAATAAACAACAATAGTGTGATGTCATATGTGGTATACATCTGATACTTTCAAATAAACTTAACTGAGAAAACAATCTTTCATCATATATGAACTGTATGTTTGAAAAGTGTTTTCATCTGTTAAAATCTATGGCACATTGAAAGATAGAAAAAGAAAGCTGTGATTAAGAAATGCTCAAATTGATCTAAAGCTCATTTATGATTTCAATTAAGGTTTCTGAATTTTACTACAATTTGGCAGTTTTAAAAATACCAATCCCTATTCAATGTGTAATTTTTTTTCCATATAAATATTTGTATGCTTTATTCATGAATAAACTATTTTGCAAAATTTAGACTGGTAATTCTCACTCTTACACCTGTCTGATAATTAGATTAACTGAGAAGTTTTTATCAAATCAAACATATATCTGGACCTTAGCCTTGGGATTTTCATTTAGCTCATTAGGTATTTCTAATGATTAGAGAGCATTTAGACCAAATGAATGCTCATATCTTTTTGTAAAGTACTTTCCCCTAAGTTTATAATTAAAGAAACTTCTGTTAAGAGTTGCCATTTTCCCATTACCTATTAATTTTTAGAAACAAAAACAGGGGCCGGCACAGTGGCGCAAGCAGTTAAGTGTGCGTGCTCCGCTGCGGCAGCCCAGGGTTCGCAGGTTCAGATCCCGGGCGCGCATCGATGCACCGCTTGTTAAGCCATGCTGTGGTGGCGTCCCATATAAAGCAGGGGAAGATGGCCACGGATGTTAGCTCAGGGCCAATATTCCTCAAGAAAAAAGGGGAGGATTGGCATCAGATGTTAGCTCAGGGCTAGTCCTCCCCACACACACACAAAAAAAATTATATAAAAAAAAAAACAAAAAACAAATGTGAAATCATACATTTCTGAAATCCCTAAATATGATGACTGATTATTCTTATAGGCTTCAATATTTACCATCTAATTTATATTTAAATGTATTCTAAAATCTGTTATCCAGTTACATATTAGAACATTAAGCATAACTCCAATGTTATTGACAATTTATAAATGGTTGAACGTACTTGTTATGGGTTGAACTGTCTCTCCAAAGAAGATATGTTGAAGTCCTAACCTCCAGTACCTCAGAATGTGACCTTATTTGGAAACAGGTCTTTGCCAATTTAACCAAGTTCAGGTCCTAGTGTGAGCTCTAATCCAATATGACTAGTGTCTTTATAAAAAGGGGAAATTTGGACGCAGACACAGACATGAACAGAGGAAAGATGATATGAAGAGACATAGGAGAATGCCATGTGAAGACGGAGGACTGGAGTGATGCATTCACGAGGCAAAGAATGCCAGAGATTGCTGGCAAACCACCGAATGCTAAGAAGAGACAAGGAAGGATTCCCCTACAGGTTTCAGAGGGAGCATGGCCCTGCCGACACCTTGACTTCGGACATCTCGCATCTAGAACTGAGACAATAAATTTCTGCTGTTTTAAGCCACCTAGTGTTTGGTACTTCGTTACAGCAGCCCTAGCAAACTAATATACTAGTAGATATAACTGTTCACAGTACAATTTGCTATTGTTGAATCCTTAAAATGTAGCTTATTTTGAAGGACAAGCTTAATTAGTCAAAGGTAAAATTGAGGCAAATGCCCTCTTTAGCAGTCTGGTGAAGCCTATGGACCTCTTCTCAGAATAATGTTTAAAATTTATAAAATAAAAAATATTCCATTATGAATGAACCCAATTATATTGAAATAGTTATCAGAATTAAAAAAACCCACCAATTTGTGATACAATAATATCATGCACTTTGTTATCAACACATTAAATAATAAGATCTAGTAGAAAGTCTATTAGTGATGAGAATAAATGGTATTTTGAGATAACTATAGCATAATGTGAAAATATTTGTGACTTCTATTGTGACAAAGTCACAGGTACTGCTAATGCTATTGCAGTGTCTTTTCTATACTCGTAGTTTAAAGAAATGCCAAATTTCAGTTAGAGATTACTGAAAATAGAATCTAACAATTCCCAGCCATGTCTAAGAACCCTCTGAATTCTATCTATGGACCATTTGGGAGTCAGTGGTAAAGAATAGGTAAAGAACTCTTGACGAGGAAAGATTCTCTGGCTTTATTCACAAAATCGTCTCTATTTTTGGGGCCAGCCCGGTGGCGCAAGCGCTTAAGGGCACGGACTCCGCTGCAGCGGCCCGGGGTTCACCGTTTCGGATCCTGGGCGCCCACCGACGCACTGCTTGTCAAGCCATGCTGTGGCGGCATTCCATATAAAGTAGAGGAAGATAGGCACGGATGTTAGCTCAGGGCCAGTCTTCCTCAGCAAAAAAAAAAGAGGAAGATTGGCACTGGATGTTAGTTCAGGGCTGGTCCTCCTCACAAAAAAAAAAAAAAAAAAATTGTCTCTATTTTCTATTTTGACAGAGTTGGCTTAAACAACTGTGTGATAGCTACGTGGGTGCCACTCAACACCTCACCTCTAATGCTTCTCCCTGAACTGCAGAGGAAAACTAAAGACCACATATCACACACAGTTCCCCTTGCAGTTAAGGTTCTGAATGTGAGGTAGGTTCAACCAATCAGCATTTACATGAGATCTGAAAGAAGGAAGTACAGCAGAAGCTGTGTCTACTGTTCTTGCTGGCAAGCATAGGTGTGGACATAGCTGGTTTCTTCCAGTGATCTTATTATGGCTCTAGTGTTCGTCACTAGACTCGTGAGTGCCAAAAGGCAGGGTACTGTACATTTAGTTGGTATGCATCCTAGCAAATGTGGCATGATTCTGGAGCTGGCAGCAAAAGTAGTATCCCGATCATGGCAGATTCCACACTGTGGGAATGGCAGTACGCCTCCTGATCACAGCAGAGGCAGCAGCTCCCTAAGTGCGTGGGTTCTGCTGTGTGGCTTTGAAGCCATTACCGAGAGCTCACACTAGAGTCTGTTTCCTCAGTCCTCCCTATACTCGTGCAATTACCTTAATGCCCCGAAATAAAGCTCTTGCTTAACCAGCCAGAGTGAATTCTGTTATCTGCAACTGAACTCTGACCCACACAAACTACAATTTATATGCCCTTCTATAAAATACCTGTTTCCTCAAGAACTACTTCTGGCAGACGGATTGTTTTTTATTTTTTTCCAAAGAGTATACTTCCAACTTCAATTCAAACACACAGGGGGCAAAATGTTGAACTGCCTGCTGTTCTCTGACCAAAAATAAACATACTCAAATTTTTATCACAAAAAGTATAATAGAAAATACAGAGAGTTCTCCAAGAATCTGTTTCAGTTCAGTTAGTTATAATCACTTTTTAAAGCAGCAATTAATTATTGCCCAGTAAAGTAAAAATATTGAATTGCCAAAATCAAGAATATGCCTAAATTATTCACCTCTCTCTCTGTAAATGTACTTGAATTGGCCTGCTTGTTATACCATTTGAGGGTAAAGGTAATTTCTTTTCTTATATGAAAGGAATTTAATATTTAACTCTCAAAGGGAACCAGGTGCCATGTTAGCTTGGTATTCTCCTTAGCCAGCGAGTAGTACGATGAGGGAATTAGTTGCTCTGTTATTCTGGAGGCCAAAAGCAAAACCCAAAAATTACATCTTAGAAAAGTTAATTAACAAAATGGACTTGAATTGAAAATTACCTCAATGACGGGCAAAATGAAATGGATAAATAGAGCATGCGAATGAACTGGTGTGCCAAAGGTCTGGAGGTCCTAATTATCATGCCATTTCAAGTGCGAGTTCACTCAAATCCCTGGACTAGAGTAGTCATGTTGTTTCCTGTTTTATATATAATCAGTTTATCAAACCCATTTAGCAAAGCCACCTAAGCCAGATACATTTCTTAATTATGTGCAATTCCTTTTCCTTTAACAAACAGAAAACAAATATAGTTTAAATTCCAAATGGAACATAGAACCCAAGCATAAGACATATAGATCCAGAGACTGAACATTGTTTTCCAGCGGCTGAAGCCCTTTTCCTTAAGAATAACCTCTGAAAACCCCATTTGACTGTGGCTCTACTCTTCGATTTTCTGTAACCTTCTAAAATGAAAGAATCCTAAAACTATCACATATGTTCATTATTTTTAATACCAGGAAATTGTTTTAAAACACCAACTTTGTGAGCTTTAAGTTAAAACTATCTTTATGTGTGGGGGGATGATTTTAACAGTAAAAAAGAAAATTAAGCTTTGTAAAATACATCTTTTTAAAACACCGTTTTTACCCCTTTTTTTGCAGTCTAAGAATGCAGGTATTTCCCTGGTTTCCCCGGTTCACTGACGTGTACCGGCGGCTGGAGCACCTGGGGAACCGCAGAGAACTTTGGAGAACTTGGAAAGAGGCACGGCTGGCTGTTGCCTCTACTGCCTCCATGTTGCCCGTCGGAGAGACTCCAAACAAAGCCCGGATCTCCAGGAAAGGTGCTCCCCGCTCCAGGGCTCACGACACCCACAGATCACAGCGAGAAAAAGGCGGAAGGGCTTAGGTGTGGCGGCAAGAAAACCAGAGCTTCAGACAGGTTCCAAGCCAGCGCGCTCAGCGCCAGCCGCGTTTCCCCGAAGCCCCAGGCTCGGAGCTCGCCGCAGCCTGCCCGGCCCTGTCCCTCCTCGGGGCACAAAGCGGGAGCGCCGGCCGGGCGGGCACCTCTCAGGCGGAGGCGGGCAGGTCGGGGCGATGCGGCGCCCGGCGGTGCCCTGGCCCGCCCCGGGCACTTACCAGGAGAAGCAGCACGACGGCCTCCGCGCTCCGCGCCATCGCGCCCTCGCCTCGCCCCCGGCGGCTGGCACAGCTCCGCGCCGCCGCTGCCCGGGGTCCCAGCGAGCGG